TTTTTTTTTTTTTTTTTTTTTTTTTCTTCTTTGAAGGCAACTGGATCCCAGATAGGAATGATTGTCAATTCCTTTGCCAATGTTGGAGTGGCCATCATCATTGCTTTCTACTTCAGCTGGAAGTTGAGTTTAGTTATAATGTGTTTCCTACCATTTTTGGCATTATCTGGAGCTATACAGGCCAGAATGCTGACAGGATTTGCCTCTCAGGACAAGAAGGCTCTGGAAGCTACTGGACGGGTAACATTGTTTAGAAACTAATTTATATTCACACCCCAGAGAGTTGAAAGTCAGGAATTTGGGACCATCGTAATTCAAATGTAACAGAACTGGCAAAAATTTGCAAAGAAGTTGTAGTATTTCAGCTTGCGAAGCCATCAGCATGTCACTGGGAGTTCCCTCCTGTAAAAACACTCACAGCTGGTCAGAACAGCTGTTCAACAGTAACCTGCTGTTCAAAAGGCATTAGACCTACATGCTCAACACAGATCTTTCTGGTCAGTTGGCTTCATTGCTGTTGGGTTTTGCTTAAATACTGTTTGGTGGTTCCCTGTGATTCTGATGTGCTCAGAGAGCAGGGACACCCGTTCACTCAGAAATCATCACACTGCAGATTTTGGCACTGAATAACAAATCGGTGCGTTGAATTTACAGAGAATAGGGAGAACTGGTTCTTCAGTAAATCTTGTAGTTTAGCAGCTTTCCTAGCAATTTGTGATGCCTCTCTGAGGGCTTGAGAATAGATTTCTGGGGAGAGAGACGAGGAAGAAATGAGTGTCCTAACCAATTTTGTTTTAAAGAGAAGTAGCATTTGTCAAAATTAAATTATCTGTTCTTCCATTCAGCTAGAGATTGTTGCTACTGAGAAGCGAATCTTGGAAATATTTGAGTGTATTTCAGAACAGCATTGTCCTGTAATGAGGGAGATGCACAAAATCAAGTGCCACTTATTCACACTGTGTGAAAATAAGTTACATGTGAGAGAGCTTGATTTTCTGAGCGTGTTTACAGTAGCTTGCTCTAGAAAAGCAAATAGAGTTTTGTTGTTGTGGATGTAGCAGATGTTGCTTGCAGTAAAGTTGCTCTTTAGGTTGGCAATTATACCTGAAACTATTTATGTATGGCATTAGTGCAGAGTGGATATGTGAAAGAACTGTGTATTTGTGGGAGGGAGCATGCTGCTTTTTAAAAGTGCAAATTAGCGTGAACTAACCATGCTGCTTTTTAAAAGTGCAAATTAGGAGATTTTACTTGTGGTTTTTTTTTTTTCCAGATTTCCAGTGAAGCCCTCGCTAACATCAGGACTGTGGCTGGGATAGGAAAGGAGAAGATGTTTATTGATAGTTATGAGAAGCACCTGGAAATACCCTATAGAGCTGCAATCAAAAAAGCGAATGTTTATGGGCTCTGCTTTGGCTTTGCCCAGTGTATCGTGTTCATAGCCAATTCGGTCTCTTACCGATACGGAGGGTTCCTGGTGGACGCTGAAGGGCTCCACTACAGCTCTGTGTTCAGGTGGGCGCGTGCCTGGAGCCAGGAGGCTCCGCGCGCGGCTCCTCGGAGCGGCGCCTCCTCGGAGCGGCGCCTCCCAGCATCTCCCAGGACCAACGTTCTCCCTTTCCCGCAGGGTCATCTCTGCGATTGTGACCAGTGGAACTGCCCTGGGAAGAGCTTCTTCCTATACTCCAAATTATGCCAAAGCCAAAACATCTGCTGCCCGTTTTTTTCAGTTGGTTGATCGGATTCCTAAAATCAGTGTGTACAGCGATAAAGGAGAAAAATGGGTGAGCGTGGAGATGAGTAATAGGAGGTGTCATTCAGCTCAGCACTGCGCTGAACTTGCAGTAACAACTTTGTTGCTCTTTTTAAAGCAGTGAGCTCTGCACTAGACAGTAATGTAAAGTGCAGCTATTAGGAATTTCTCAGTCTAACACTCTTAGAAATTGGAATAGGTCCAATTTGGATGACTCATGCAATAGCATACTTTTTATTTCTGTTCGACAGTTTTCAAATAAATCTGATCACAACTGGTTTACAAGGGATATTTTTCAGTTTAACATCATAAAGTTGAGAGTGTTCAAGAGGAAAATCATTTCAGTCAGACAAAATAAAAATTCTCAATTTTGGATTGAATTGAAAAGTTAAAATCATAAGATTCAGATAACATTTTTCTCTTTAAACTTTTGCAAAATTAAAGAAATTCTTGAAATATTTCTACAAATTAAATACATTAAATATTTTGCTTTGAACTATGAAAATAAAACACATCAATTCCCTCTCAGGAATTTCTGAAAGGATTAATAATTCAGTGAAAATTAGAAAATTGATCTGAATTCACATGTTGTCTTATTTCACATGCTGAAAAAAAAATGTCTTTTTAATCAGAAAAAAATCTTTTGCATATGAATGTCTTTGCACCGTCATCAAATTTGGGCTTACATAGAGTCTGTGCTAAAATAAATAATTTACAAGATGGTGCCATTTCCTGACAATGAAGTATCAGTCAAGCAACAATGTTATGACTAATGGCTTCCCCTCTAGGACAGCCCTGCCCATAAGTCCTTGAGTTTCTGGACTGATTTCATGATTACTGGTGTCACTTTTTAAATAACAGATGCGAGAATGAAATTTGAGTTGTTGTTGTTTTGTACTTTACAACTCAGTTTTGTTCTCACTGTAGCTTCTCTCTCATTCCTTTACCAGGACGATTTCAAAGGCAGCATTGAATTCCGTAACTGTAAATTCACATACCCGTCTCGGCCTGATACTCAGGTGCTGAAGGGCCTCTCCATAGCTGTGCAGCCCGGGCAGACCCTGGCGTTCGTTGGCAGCAGTGGCTGTGGGAAGAGCACCAGCGTGCAGCTCCTGGAGCGCTTCTACGACCCCGAGCACGGCGCCGTGGTAAGCGGAGGGGCCGCTCTCCCCAGCGGGGTTGCGGGGAGTCCTCGGCCGCGCACACAGCCGGCCGGGGGGCCCGGGCCTGTGCAGCCACAGCCGGCACTTCCGCCACATCCTAAACAAAGCGGGTGCTCCTGGCACGTCGGCGCTGCCATCTCCGGTGCGCTGGGGCAAGGGGAGAGTTAAGCGCCGCAGGCCTCAGCTGCAGCACGGTGTGGGCTGCAGCGCTCCCCTTGGCAGCTCCTCTGCTAAACACACAGCGGGCGGCTGCCATGGTGGGAGCACAGGCAGTCGAGCCTTATGTGAGCCACAGGGAGGCTGCAATATCCGTAAAGAATTCCAACGTGTAGCTTCTTTGCAGGTTCAACTTGGCTGGCTTCATCTCCCAGCCACTCAATTACTGATAGCTTAAACAGCATTTTTATCTTTCCCCCACATAAATACTTAACCAGTTGGAATTCTTTTTCTTTAGGAAAAAAAAGTGTGGCAATTATTAAGCCAGGAATCCAGCAAAGCATGTGTCTGTGTTGAAGCAGCTAAATAATTCGGTAGGCCTTAAGGTTAAGCAAATGATTTAGTGTCTGTCTGAATCACCAATGTACACAGGAAAAAAAAATAATTTGCCATGTGCAAAGAAGGCAAATGTAAGCAGATTCTGCAAATTAGATCAGTCTTGTTTGCATTTTGGTAATAAGGCCGTGTTTTAAAACTGTAGGAATCATTTAGTTTCATTGTGAATTATTTGTATTTGGAAAGTGTTGTTCTGGAATGATATTTCAAGTTCTCTTCTATTTTCTGGTAGTTAATAGATGGACACGACACCAAGAAAGTAAACGTTGAATTTCTTAGATCAAAAATTGGAGTAGTGTCCCAGGAGCCCGTGTTATTTGACTGTAGCATTGCTGATAATATTAAATATGGCAGTACCACCAAAGAGCCGACGATGGAGCAGGTCGTGGAGGCAGCCCGGAAGGCGCAGCTGCACGACTTCGTCATGGCACTGCCGCAGGTGAGTGCCCCAGCAGGCACCCAGTGCGCGGTGCGGAGCGCGGAGCGTGCCCTGGCAGGGCTGGCTGGAGCCACCTGCGCCGGGGCTGCGCCGGGGCTGGCTGCAGGAGCTGCGCCGGGGCTGGCTGGAGCCACCTGCAGTAGCTGCGCCCTTCCCCAACGTCCAGCTCCCACAGGTGGCCCACGGCGAGCAAAGCCGGGGCACAAGCATGTTTTAGGGTTGTGAAAGTTTGGGTGTGAGTTGGTGGTGGTGGACAACTCTGAAATAGGAGAAAAGGAAAGATTTTTCAAAGCAATGGACAGGAAAGAAGAGGAAGCTCAGTTTAGTGGTCAAAGCATGACTCTGAGGTAGGAAGTATAAATCCTGTTTGTAGCTATGGCAGGTGTGCCTTGTGACGAGGGCATGATACTTGCATTAAAGTACTTGAATACATTTAAATTGTAAAGATAAACATAAAATGTATAAATACAGTTTAGGTGCCCAAATAGAACACTGGTCCATATAATTCCTCAGCTGCTTTCAGCCTCTTCCCCCAGATCTACTTTTGCCTCATACAAATTAGCCATGATCTTACTACGAGATTTTTCTTCTTTTTTCTTTTCATTCCCACCATTATACTGCCTGGGCCCCCATGTCATGTGGACTGCATGTCAAGGTTCAAAAATATCCCCACAAGCATGAATGTTTCACCTTCTTTTTGAGGAAGATACTATCGTGGTTAGAACTCTTGTCTCCCTCCTACTCCTGTTCCTTCAGTTTGCATACGCATCTGTTTGCTCACATCTAAATAAAATCTTCTTTTTTTTATATTTTTCAGAAATACGAAACTATGGTTGGGGCTCAGGGCTCCCAGCTGTCCCGTGGGCAGAAGCAACGCATTGCTATAGCAAGGGCCATCATACGCGATCCTAAAATTTTATTACTGGATGAAGCTACATCTGCCTTAGACACAGAAAGTGAAAAGGTAAATATGTGGTGAAAAGAAACGTGGGAGTGCTAATAGAGTGACTTGCGAGGCCCTTGTCTGTGCTGTAGACACTGTACCCTACACAGACATACCCTTACAACCTAAACGTTATTCCACACTCTTAATTCAGAACCATAACTTTAATAATCTCTATGGAAAAATCCAGGAAGCAGAACTATAAATATAATAGCCAGCTATGCATACTCACACTGTGGGTTTGAAAGCTTGTGGTAGGAATGTTTCACAAATGCAGCTTCTACGCGCCAAAAAAAACAAAGGTTATTCTAACGTATGAATGAGGCACGAAGATACAGTGACAGGCCAAAACCTCAGGCGTGAATTTGCTTGGTTTGGTAATACTCAAGAGATCAGAGAAATGCTGGGAGCTTAAAAACATATCTGTGCCAACAGTTTAAATTCTACTGCTGTATTTATCTATCCTTTCCTTGTATTGGTGTTAGACTAAGCTTATGATCCTGCCAAAAAAAAAAAAAATAACATCAACCATTAATATCAGGTTTGATTTAGCCTCACAGTCACTTTTAAAAGTGCTGCATGATGGAGTTAATTAACCAGAACCAATCGGGTTTCTCTGGCTGAGCCTCATGCTGATGCACCCATTTTCATGACTCCTTTGTGTGTTGCCTTTAGACAGTGCAGGCAGCGCTGGACAAGGCCAGGGAAGGGCGAACCTGCATCGTCATTGCCCACCGCCTGTCCACCATCCAGAACTCCAACGTCATCGCTGTCATGTCGCAAGGCATCATCGTTGAACAGGGCACTCATGATGAACTAATGGCCAAGGAAGGAGCTTATTACAAGCTTGTCACCACCGGAGCCCCAATTAGCTGAATTACTGCAATGCTAACTTTGAGTTGCTTTCTGCCTCTGAACAAGTACTCTGTGGTAGGTATGTGTATGTCAGTACCCTAGTGTATTATAAAGTAAGTGCAACGCCATTGGTCGGTGGTACCCAACCTATGTAGCCTTCTGGAACAAGCGAAGCCCAGCAGGCCACATGCAGGGAACTATGCATAGGTACGTCAGCCTCCTGCTAAGGGTAAGAAAGCCTGAAAGTAGGAGAGCTTGTTGGTGAGTTGGGGTATTGCCACTGCTTGCAGTCAGACTGCCAGGTCCTGCATGTAGCCTCGGGGAGGCCTCTGCTCTGGTGAGGTGGAAGGCGCCAGCTCTCTGGGTAAGCTCTGTGGATGGAGTCATGCTGAGAAGGCAGCCGCTGTCCCTGACGTTCTGGCTTGCAGATGGCTACCACAGACACTGTTCGAGTGGCTGCAGCTCTCCCCCTTCCATAGCCTCCTACATCAGCTGCGCTGCTGCGGGGGGACTGGCTCCCCCGGGGTGCTCCTACACCCTGGGAAGCCCAGAGCTTGATGTAGCAGCACCCCTGTGCCAAAACCATTAGGTGTTTCTGGAAAAGCAGCTCCACTGCAGCGAGCAAGGCAGTCAAGAGGAACAGAAGCTCTTAAGGCTCGTTTCCCCTTCACTCATCACTGTGATCAAAGCTGTCAGCTATGTTTGAATATGAATAAATGCTTTATTTCAATCAATGTAAACTTCTACTGTTAATCTTCACTGTTATTTAAATCTCTTCCATTGAGCGGGTGATGGATAATATCCTCTTTCATTTTGGGGAAGGCAAGACTGAGAGATATCTTTTAGAAAGACCATAAATATTCTGAAAAGGTGGAATAAAAATAGGAATTAGCCACAGCTAGCTGTTTGTTTACATTAGGTGCAGTAGATAAATGGAGCAACAATTCACTCCTGACTGACGGGTCAGGCAGCAGCTTTCCCTGGTAGAATCCTGGAGGTGTAACTGTTCGCTCTAGGCTGTGCACGCTCGTCTCCAAAATGTGCTACTGGGCACTGTTTGCAGGACTTGTTTTCTTGGAGACAAAGCAGACAGCCAGATAACCTGAAATTACAGCTTCAGGATTTAAATTGTGACTTGGAATAACAGAGTGTTACCTGGAAAAGGCATTTACAGCATCCCGCAATCTGCAGGTTGTTGGATGTTGCTTTTTTTTTCCTCTTTAATTCTAGGCAACAACAACAAAAAAAAAAACAGAATTTTTGTGCAACCCCATTATTAGAATACCTTCATTAGAACCTAATTGATGTTAGGTATTGATATTAAAAAAGCACTTTTTAAATGAAGAACTCTGTTTTAATCATTCACTAAAAATAAAAAAGGAAGATGCATTGTTGGCCTTTTGTTTTAATATGTCAAGCCTTTTCTACATTTCAGGACAATAACTAGTTTGGATGATTTAGGACTGAAACTACTACCAGTCAATAACCTATTGACAAAAAGCTTTAATTTCTGAATGGGAGATACACCTTAAAAGAAAAAGGGACCTAGACTCTAATATACAGGATTGTAGCACCTTAACTCCATTTTCCCTCATCTTTTTTTTCAAAACTACCACTCCTGGGAACACTGGTACAATAGTTCAGATAAGGAAGAAAAACAACCTTGCTATAGAATAACAAAGATGAACAAGCTATAAATATATATATTGAATACCTCAGTGACTTTTTTTAAACATATTTATGATACAATTATATTTTGCAATTAATTTATAGTTGCATTTAAGGATATAAGGGAAAAAGCACACCTTAATGAGACAATTATTACGGGTGCTTATGCCATATTCTTTTCCTAGAGGACTACAGCTATGCGGCCCAAATTACATGAATATATTGTATTTTTTATTGACTCTTGTGCTTTAACACTTCATGTCTTATTCTGCTGCCAAGCACTTGAATTTCTGCCAGCAGCTGCCAACTATTTGTGTGTATTAGCTGGTGTCTGTACCCGCTCTGCTCTGCAGGACAGGGCAGTGAGAGCAGCCCAGCAGCACCACGGCTGCGGGTGCTGCCTGTCTCCTTACAGGAGCCCCGCGTGGCGCGGGCGGGCACGGCCGGGGCCAAGCTGCTTCCTCCCAAGGCAAATGCTGTTCTCAGCGGGCCGGGCAGCATGAGGAGCTGATGCCCGCACAGCAGGTGCCCTGGCACGGGGTGCTGCCGGGCGCACTCTCGCCACCTCACAGCCGTAGGCCCGCACAGGCACCGAGATTAACCCCCAGGGGAGCTGCACACTGTGCACGAGCAGGGCACGGCCTGAGGAACAGCCCCGCCGGGGCTGGCAGGAGCTCTCTGCTCTGGCGTTGGCAGGACCTGCCGGCCTGCAGGGAAGCAGCGGTGCCTGCCCAGGGCCCGCAGAGCCAGCCCTGAGCTGC